TGTGTAAATGAAAAAGTGCTGCCATACAGCACTTTCTCTGGCTGTCATTTTAAAGAAAATCACAGCTGTATCCGAGCTTTGGGGAGCCCACTCCTTTTTCTGCTGTAGGCATGCTCTGTCTGTACCTACTGAAGCCAGCTCTTTAGGAGTTTCAGGTGGCTCAACTTAGTTTCACATTGTCAGTCAAGGTACTGACTATCAGGAAGCTGCTAAATTTTTCAAACTGTTAGAGTAGTAGATCACTAGAGAGCCTTCAAGTAAAGACACTGATGAATTTGGGTTCTTCTAGGAGTGGTGACAGATAAGGTTGAACAAAGGAACACCAGGAGTGGAATGAAGCCATGTCCCAACTAGAACCTCCAGTGCAGCCTTGGGTATAGTGCATGTATCCATATATATATATATGTCACAGGCAGAAGTTCAAACAACTTGTGCTTTACCAAGAAAAAGAAAATTCTTGAGCAGCTGAAGCACCCAGAAAAGACTTCTACATCCAAAGAAGACTCAGTGTATTTTTATGTACTTTTTTTTTCACCTCTCCTTGTGCATGGATTGAAACCTACATATGCCAGAATCTTGATTGTGTTTTGCGGTTTTTTTGTTTGCTTGTTTAGATGGTTGGTGATTTTTTTTTTTTCTTGTTGTTTGGCTGGTTTGGGGATTTTGTTTGTTTGTTTATTTTTATTGGTTGGTTTCTTGTTTGTTTGGGTTTGGTTTGTTACCAGAATCAAGATTCTAACCTCCTTTTGTGGCTGTCATCTTCTTCCTTTTATCCTCTTCCATTTCTCCCCTCAGGCTTGATTCTGTCCAATTTATTTATTTACTTATTTGGGGTGTAGTTGATGTAAATTTATTTAGGCTATGCCCTGGATGTGTTTAGGAGGGGTTTAGTTACAGTAACTTCTTCCCTAATTGTCTACAGGCAGTGCAGCATCAGCAAATCCGCTTTGTTCCTGAAGCTGCAATTGGTTTTCTAGCTGCTGATAAATCGCCTCATCCTGAGGTTAGCAAGTGTACATTTGTCTAACTTACACTGCGACTCTGTGACACATGTATTTAAACTGCTTTAGGCATCCAACAGTCAAGGACACTCATTGTGTACAAAGAGAAAGGGCAAAGCATTTGTTCCTTTATGAAAAAAAAAATGCAGAAAAGTAATTGAGAAAATCTTAGTGTAATTAAAGTTAATGCTTTGAATCTTATGGAGCATCCTCATCAAAAAAGAAACATTAAAGTGGAAAGAAAGCCCATGTACTTGAATCGATGGCAGTACTAACCTGTATGTTCTATAGCTAGTAAAATAATAAAGTGAATGAAACAAGTTATTTGAAGAGGACTGTTCTCATTCTGCTTTGTTGGAGTCACTTCTGGGAAACCTCACTCTCCTTGACAACTTCTTTGTCTGATAAACAGCTTATGTGTCTTACATGTGGGAGCTAAGTCCCTCCCTGTAAGACATTCAGAGAAAGCAAATCAGTGTAAGTCTACATCCCCAAAGTGTTTGAGAAGTGATTTTCTCTCTCTGGCAGATAGCCAGCTTTGGCTGGTACAAAGAACATCAAGAAAATGTAGAAAGAAGACAGAGAAGTCTGATAATCAGGACATACGTGCTACAGTGATTTTGGAACAAAAATTGTAGTTTTTCATGTCTGGTTTAAAATTACATGCTTTGCCTACCATAAGCTGTTTGTTACTAGTAAAGAATAACTGAATGTGTTCTGGTGTAGAACATCCTTATGTATGTTTCTAGGAAAAAAAAAAAAAAGCAATAGTTACTGAGGAGGAACCAGTCCCTGAAGTTTCAGTGGTAATGGCTAAAACCAGAAGTGCTTATGATGATGGTTTAAAATAAACTTTAAAATCCTCAGAGGATCATCATCTTCACAATTTTAACTTCATAATAGCACTTAACTATCTAGGTACTCTTTAAAATTCTCCTCCCAGCCCAAATATTTGGTATGACTCACTGGGAGGAGGACATACAGGTGAACAGTGATCTATTTTAATATGCCCATGAAGCTAGGTTTTTGAATGTCGTCTAAGGTTTGAAGTCTTTTCAGACTCCCTAATCCTAAAGTGATTCTTCATAAAGAAATTGGAAACTATGTGGCTTTTGCTTCTGCACACAGAATTATGATCACAGAAAACTTTACTGGTGAAGTAAAGGAAATTGAAGCTGGAAAATGAAAAAAAAAATCAGTTTGCATGTGGAAAAATGTGAAAAATAATATGTATTGAAAAATATCAAAAAGCATGCAAAGAACAAAGCTAAATCAAGGCTACGCATTCCGTATAGTCCCATATAGGGAGTAAAGTATTTTTACTCTTTCTTTTCAAAGAGACAGTAGTAGTAGAAACTATAAAACCCATCCAGCATGCCTGCTCTTGGTCATTGTGTGATCATCAAAATGAAGTAACAGCCTCCACAGGTGGACAAGAAGACTTGAGGTAATGATACACCCAAGAATACCTTTCAATAGTTAAGTCTTTAGAAGGAATAATATTTATGTGATTTCAGGTGTAATTGTTAGGCATATGAAGCTTTTAAATTATCTTCCAAAATAACAGATGAAACAACCAACCCATTTTATTACAATACTACAATTATGAAACTTACATTTTTCACTGCACTGACCTAACTGCAGGAGCACCTTTTACCTTGGGTCTTCATGTACCCTTTCCCTGGGTAGCTGTGAAGCACGCTGTCTTTCTAGAATTAGAGATCCTACACCTGTTTGCCTACTCCCACCTTCTATAGTGTGGGGGCAACATCTGGGGTTAAACTCTATGACTAGCTAGCTGTTGAGCTGCTTGAAGATCTCAGCTGAGTAACTGGCTGCATTTTGATGGGAGTATGACTTTGACCTCTAGAGAGCATGAATGGTTTGTGGCTTCTCCTGTTATCATATGTCTAGAAAGAATTGAGGAAATTTGGAGAATAAAGCCAAAAGTTCATGGGGAAAAAGAGATGGGCAAGTAATCAGTATCAGGCAATTGCTGGATATTTTTCAGAATCTGTGTTTAGTCTGTTCTCGAGCAGACCTCAAAGTAGGGAACTGTGCACTGTATGTGCACATCACAGTTATTTTCAGCTTGAGCAGTTCAATAGGCTAAAAAGTAATTTTGTTAATATATAAATTGTGCAGTAAGATATTCCTAATGGTTATCTTAGTTTAAAGATTTCCTGAGGCTCAAATGGTAATAAGATGTAAAACAAGATGCCACTGGTAATATTATTCTCACAAAAAAAGTGTGTATATCAGTGAACATTTTCAGAGGCAGACATGATTATTTATGTGGAAATAAAAATATCTGCTGTGACTGAAAACCTCCTAATAAAAATGTGTTGGGAGGTAAGAGAACTAGTTCAAAGGCTTCTTTTTAAGTCTGCATCACAAAGATTGTGGTTTATTATGATAGCTGCTGTCCTGATAGTCAAGTGACAGATTTTTCTATGGGTTTTGAGCTGTCCATTAAATATAGCACCTCCATTTCTTTACCTCAGTAACCCACTGAGTAGCTACTGGCTGAAAAGTGGGAGTCACAGTGGGAAGCTGAAGGGTAACGGGCCTCTGGAGTATTTAGTGTTTAATGGATCAACAGCTGTAGTGAAGCAGTGTGTAGAAATAATTCTGATTAGGCTTGGTCAGTCAGATGCAAAATGAGCCCTGCCCCTCCATCATTCAGCTCTAAAATTCAGAGAACAATTTCTGCTTAAGCCCATTTAAACACAACCCCCCCTTTCAGTCAGTTATATTTTTAGCTAATTTCTTGATGTGATATGCTGTCAAAGGCAGAGGGGAGCAAATAGTTGAGCGACTGTACTGGCAAAATTGCCTTTTCTATCTGGGACTTCATTTTGGAAGGAATGATCGAAACCATGAAAATAGTGATTTTAAGAATTCAGCTTTTATGGAAATTAAATCTTACTAAATACAAATAATAGATTAATACTGTGCCACATTTGTGGCATGGTAAGTAGCTTCTTACTTACATTTTCATGTCAGCTGTTGTCAATAGAATATACAGCTGTAGATGTGCAATTAAAAAGCAGTAACTTTGAATGGCAGAGGGTTTGCCTGTTCAATACAGTATTACTTGATGATAAATCTTCACATCAAAAATAAATCACCTGTATTTGTAACTTCTATTTTTATAAGATTTTTAGTCTTCTTGGCTAAGTCCTTTGCAGCTCTATAAGCATGGTACATATGTGAAGTGGGAGCTCAGTTAAGATACTCTGGTCTATTTTGGCAAGTTTAAGAGGTCAGGTGGATGCAATCATTACTGAACCTCACTGGTAGTCTGCTTTGAAGTCAATTCTTAAGTAGAAATTGTGCTTTTATGTAAAGAAAAGCATTGTTCTAATAAGCCTTGAGAACAGAGTAGGTTTCAAAGGAGAAGATGAGGTGATTGTTCTGAACTAATGCTTGTGCTAATAAATGCTGACAGAATTCTTACTGCTACCTATAAAAAGATGCAAAACTCCTAAAGCTAGAAATCATCTAACTGGACTTAAAACAAAAAATCTGGATTTGTGCAGAACAGAAATTAGAAGTTTTAAATGCTGTTTTCGTTTTGCTCAGGAATTGGAAAAAAGCCACTGTTCTGTAGCAGTGTTGCTTCAGGGTAGTTCCTTAGAAAGCGAAGGTGGTCCAGAGGTTCATGTGGGGTGTGAAATGAGTGGCTTTAGTACTGAGGATAAGCACATTCAACGCTTCTAAAATGTTTTCATTTGTTTCTCAGTGTGTTTAAATTTGGGGGGGGGTGTGTGCTGGAATTTCAGCAGTTGGCACAAATAGTAGCTTTTGCAATGATCTGCCTGTTGGACAGTGTCAATGGATACCAGAGGATTGCCCCGCTGGAAAGTCATCAGGTAGATTGACATAAAAGAAAAATCAAATTAGAGCTCCAAGTTAAGAGGCAAGTCACAGGTCATTGCTTAGGGGGAAACTGTGGAAAGGGTAAGATCTGGATAAAAATCCTTGTGGATTTTTATGTAACTGCATTGTTTATGCACTGTGTATAATGAAAAGGAATTTTTTTTTTCTTTTTGTATCAAGATATATAAATATATAGTTCCTTTTATTATAGAAGCTATTTACTCTTAAAAAAAAAAGGAAGAAATACCCTTACAGAGTGAGCATCGTTTTACTAAAAGGTTCCTGCAGCTAAGCAGATTTAGCTCTGCTTTTAAATAAATACAGGGAAATGTTTAACCCCTATTGTATGGCTACAAAGCCTGTGCTGATCACAGAGAAGCTTGGGAGGGTGGGGGACAAAGCGACGGACTGCTCTTGTACGTGCTTCTGCACACAGTTCAGCAACAGCAGGGCTTAACAGCAGAGTTTTGTCAAGATTACAACATGAAGAGGAGCATGGTGCAAATTCTTACCTCTCACTAACAAAAAGAAAGGGATAAAAAAAAAGCAATCCATCAAAAAGGGAAGAGGACTATATAGCTATATGTGCAAGGTAATGGATGATTTTCCTTTTCTGTTCCGATTCTTTTCAACCACTTACATAGCTGAGGTTTCTGTATCTTAGTTTGATTTTTTGGAATGAAGGATCATGAGCAAATGTAGTTTAAAAGGAGAATAAACCTATTTTATGCAGTTTACTGAAATATATAACTTTGGTTAACAGTGTAGGAACTGATATCAGTGCAGTTATAATTTGTATGCATGGAGGAAGTGCATGACTTCACAACATGTTAAAGATAAGATGAAACTTGTATTCTCTTTTTTTATTATTATATGTGGAAAATTAAGGTATTGTTCTTAGGGATATTAATGTAACAGGACTACTTGTCAAGGAAGTGTTTTCATGAGGATGTGTGTATGAAAAATGAAAACCCAAATAATTTAGTCTTGATGTTTTTCCAGGGTATTTTCCAGGATATTTTTTCCTATTATTACTCTGTCAGAATCACCTGGGGTTGAGCACTACCAGAAATAAGATAGATATGACAAAAAGATGGATCACTACCATCATCAGCCAACAGGGTGATTGTTTCTCCTTGTCTGAGGTCTCCTCATTACTCTTTAGTTCTGAAAGAAGAAATGACATAGGGGTGAATAATGGTGCGCTGAAGTGCTGGATTGCATAAGACTTTGCTTAAATGCACTAAATGAGTTCTATATATTGCAAAGCAAATATTTTTTTTCCAGGTCCCCTGAAAATATTTACTGTTCAATAACTTTCTGCAGTAAAGTAAAAGAAAACTGAATTATACATATCTATGCATATAGATACGTTACTAACTTTGGGGGGAGCTGTATATTGTCTTGTTCTACTGCCTTTTTTTTAAGGTTACGTTGAAAACATTAAAGTGCCTTAGCCTTTTAATGAATATTTTGAAAACATTGTATATAAAACCATTTGGCCAATCAGATTATAAAATAAAAATGGAATTTTGAATTCTGAATTCTTTATATTTGGACTTTTTGCATAGACAGGTATTAAAATCTATGGATTTTTCATTCTAAATTTTACTTCCCTGAAGTCTATCAACACTATTAGCAGAGAAATTTGTAAAGCAAAAATACTGTGTAAATTTTAGTTCTTTCACAAATTTTTAAGTTAATAAATATACAGAATAATGTTTGGGAAAGTAAGAAGTGTGCTTTACATTTCTGCAATATGCTGGTGGTCAAGCGAATTACATGATTTGAAATACATCTAATTCTAAAACATTTTTTTAATCTATACAAAGAATAAATCATACTATCCATTCACTCATTATTTTCCCGTATGGGTACAAATGCTCCTCTCACTTTGGAAACTAGACATCTGCTTATTATTTTACATGTCTACTGCCCACAGCAGGGGGGTTGGAACTAGATGATCTTAAGGTCCTTTCCAACCCTAACGATTCTATGATTTCATGATTCTATATCTGGCCATGAGGGGTTTGTGGCTAGTATGAAATATGTGGGACTTTACCTGTTGCTATAAGATCATGTCACCAAGTAATTCAGAGTAATTCCTCTTCACGCACTTAACATTGTGAATAAAAATGCAAACTTTCATGTCTGCTGTCAGACAGCAAAAGAAGTAATCTGAGAATGCTTCTCTACTTCTTCATTCACCCGAGATGTTTGTTGGATGTTCAGGTGCTCTTCTGCACATGTTTTACAGAACTTCTCATGGGTATGATTTCCTTGGTTTCAAGCTTTTGTTAAGCTCCCTTCTAAGAGACTATCAGAGAAAATAAATGATGTTACAGCAAACGAATCTGGTCATGAACTGTAAATAGGTTAAAGCTGCAGATGTCAAGAAGAACTATAGCAAATATTTGTTTTTGGAGCAGCATGTGTGTTGTCTGAGCATCCAAAGAGACTGATATTGTGACCATTTCTTACCCAGAAATTGGAATCAGTTTGGCTGTAGTACAGTTTCTTTCCTACCAATAAACCATGGAAAATTGTGAGTCATATTACTTACCAAACCAAATATACTATTAAATGACCATATTTACTTCAAAAGAGTAAGGGGAATAAAGTGATGAGGTATTCCCTTTTCTTTTAATGAGTGTTAGAAGTCTGGAAAAGATTACCTGCACTGTCAATAGAGCTGTGGTTTTCTGCTGTATGTGAGGTTTTACGCAAGCCATCCCTAGGTTTAAGAGCATGCCTGACTTCTAAGCATACCCCTTCAGGTTACAGCTGTTCTTTACTGGTAATAACAGCAAGACACAGGCAAATTCCTGTCATCAAGTTAGGCTGGTTGACAGAGGTTTCTCTGCCTGTGCATTTTAATGTTTTAGAAAATTAATCTCTCATAAAATAGACTGGCTGTAACTTGAGCTTCATCTGAGTACAGCAGTGTTCCTGCAGACCTAATATGCAGCTAGTGTTTAAAGTTCAGAGTACCTGAAATAGTGACAGCTGTGTTGCAGCCCATCAAATTTACGATTTTGCAGCCTAATACTCTTAAGTCTGTGGTGTGTCCTCCAATGTGTGACATTGGCAGGTGGAGTGTGTAACAGAGGATGCGCTGTCTTGCATGGGAGAACTGCAGGACTGTCTGGAGTGGGGAATCAAAACTTACATAGCCTTACCCATACTGCCCTTGGGAAGGGTCCCTTGGGCTGAAGTATTCCCTAAAGTGTGCTCTGATCTTGTCTTGGAGACAGTGAGTTAGTGGACTGAACCACCAGGTTCAGTCCATGGCAGGCTGGATGTAGACATTACCTTTATACAGAATTTGTGTGATCAATGTCATATTCAACTGTTTTGGTCAATTAAAAATTGCATGCATGTAGCAGTTCTGAATGCAAGTTCTGTTGACTGTGGCTCATCAAGGTCCTGTTGATTGCAGGCAGCTGTTCCAACTGAATATAGAGGTGGGGGGTTGGAAAGGATTTGAGTGTCTGAATAAAGATGAAGGCAATAAAGTGAATTACCTAAGTAAACTTCACCCCAGTGAAATGAATTATGTATGCCAAACTTCAAAAGTTATCAAGGTAATGTATTATTTCCAGTGCTTTATTATGTAAGAGCAACAAGTTGATTTGAAAGAGCCTGATCATGAGCAATTTATGAGAAGTGCTGGTTGTTAGTGAAAGTTAACAGCTACAGGGGAGCTCTAGCCAACAGTTGGGGTTTTGCCAGTCAGCAGACCAATTTAACTGTAAAAAGGGTTTTGAAAGGATACTGAAATAAATTGTACAATTGCTTTATCAATTTGATGGGAAATTAAACCAATCTTACAGTATCACCATTGTAAGCTGAGATTTTGCAGTCTCTCCTGTTTTACCCAACCAAACAGTGCTAATCTGCAGTTAGGAGTAAACAGTGAACTTTATGACAATAAAATGTATATACTTTTATGTACAGTATATGAAATAACGGGTGCTGCACTGATGCTAATTTGTTGCTATTAGTGTCACTTCACCATTAGTCCACTGAAATAAGGGCTGCGTATAGTGGCAAGCATAACTGACTTTGCAGATGAGCAACGTGTACTGTAAAGATGAAAGGGGAATCCTCAGTTGAAACTTTCTGAAGCTCACTCTCACAATTTATGATCTTACTTGAACCTTACTCACTTGAAAGTTGAACTCCACATATGCATTACCATGGAAAAATAATCAACCTTCTCAACAAGACTCTGATGTGTTTAAAATGGGTTAAAGTAACAAAGAGTAAGAGAAGAAAGGGTCTGGGTGCAGAATTGCTGTGAATAAATGAAGAAGGTAGCATCTGAATTCAAAACAAAACCTCTCCCACTGTTTCCTCTTTCTTTGTCTTGTGCTTTTAATATGAGGGGGTGGGTGCTGGGTAGGGAAGGGGGCTGTTTGTCCCATCCCTCAAATAGAATTTAGGATATTATTGTAGAAAATGGGATCTCAGATTAAAAATTGACTGTAATCCCACATGTGTCTCTGGGAAAGTGCTGTGACCAAAGGCTTTTCCCACAGTAGAGGCTTGCTGTTACCTGCTATGACCTCTTCCAGCAGATGTCTTTTTACAAGCTTGGGCATCTATATCCCAAAGACCACTGAAGTGTTTAGTCCTGAGGAGATGGAGCTACCCAGTGTGCCTTAAGCTGGGTTACTGAGTGTTAGAAAGATATGGTTAAGTTAGGTTAGGTTAGGCTTGCTCAAGCTTTGTGAAGCACTGACTGTTTTTCACTGATGATACTGCAAACCTGGATGATCAAATGGGTGGTCTGGTTTGATTTGATGTGACTGGCTATGTTATTTTGGAGAGTGAAATGCAAAACATGATTTTGAAACCCAAGGAGCCTGGTTGTTTTCCCCCCTAATGTTATTCTTTTTTCAACCCAACATGTATAAATCAGTTCCTATTAAACTACCATTCCACTTAACTGAATTTAGCATTGCAGCTGTATCAAGACATATCTGATGTCTTTGTTGTAGTCTAACAGTGAATATAATTATTGGCATCTATAAATGTTTCAGGTTGTATGTGATTTTTTTCAGGCAAGGCAGTGACATAAAGACCTGTCATACAGGGAATAAGAAAGAAGATAGAGACCATCTTGCTCAGAAGTTATTTGTACAAAGGTAAGATAATTTTTCTCTCAAAATTTTAATTTCTCATGCTTACTGGGAAAATAAAAAAAAAAAACTTTACTGACATTAAGTTTCTATCTGTTAAGTTTCTATCTTTCTGTTCAGTTTCTATTAAGTACTATCAGGGTAGTCATGTGACATGTTCTGCATTTACCTGCATTTCCATGTTTGTTTAAGGAGTTTGTGATTAGTATAATTTTTAAAATGTCAGCTCAGCTTTTAACTGAAGGGCTCATATCAAATACATTAACTGGAAAGGCAGTTAGAAGTGTTTCATAGCTTCACATAATTGAAGGTAGCCTTAAGCTCTGGTGTTCCTTGCTGGTGAGAACAGGTGTTGGGACAAGTCAACTAGTAAAAAACGGAGTCCGGAAAAATGGACTTAGAAGGCATTTGAATACGTTTTTAACAAAATAATAGAAGATTTTCTTATGGCATGGGTCACAGATTTGGTTATAGGGGCATTCTGAATTCTTTACTCTCATGGAATAGGTCCTAATGTTAAATGTCTATTTGGAAAGTTTCGAAGTAAGCTTTGATTTTTCTTATTTCAATCCCCCTCCAATTCCTTCTTACTCTTGTATTTGAGTTGCATTAATCTTTCAGCATAAGAACAGAGATAGCCTTACTTGAAGTCAGTAGTAGCTGCTGAATAGTCATTTGTGTTCTAATATCTGATTATTTTTTTTTTTAATGAAAAATCTGATTTGGGGGTCCTGAATGCAGTATTGTATGCAGTTTACTGGAACAGACCTTTTCTATCTCTTATAGTGTGTAGGCGTGGGTGGCTGTGCAGTGGTTTGTCCCTTATGTGTTCAAGCAGACAGAGCATCTGAAAGCATCAATAGTATGTTTGAAACAGAAAAGGGAGGAGATGGGCTCTGAAATGTTTTGACCTCTGAATTACATGCTGGTGGTATTACTAAAAGTAACATATAGTACATCCTCTCCCTGCCATGAAAATATTTTTTTATCATTATTATATTTTTAATCTTTCAGGAATCTCTTCTGAGATGGCTCTTGTGCTAGTCACTGAGGAGTTAAATGTAGCTTGGGATAAAGAGGACTGTTACCGTAAGGTTTTTAAACTAGACTGCTCTGGAAAAAAGATAACCATTGAAGACTGTGAAAGGCTTTTTGGATGGTAACCAAGTAAAGGAAGCTCTGATGTTCTTTGGCTTTGCTGCTTGCTGCTCTGGCTCACCAGGATCCTGGCACCCTATCACTGTGCCCTCATTGCCTCCATAGCTCCAGTTCTCCTGTCAGGGAATTCCACCATACAATAGGTCCCCTGAGGCTACTTGGATGAGTGACAACCAGCCAGCTCCAAAGTGACAAGTGTTTGAATGTCTAATTGGGTCAGTGCACAGGTGCTTGCTCCTCATGAGTGAGATGTTCTAGCTTTTCTTTGTGACGTTCTCTTGGTTCCTCTCATTTTTCCTACAGTTTCGAAACACAGCTGTCAATATTTTGATGCAAGAGAGTAGGCATTACAAAACGAGGATGGCTTTTTGGTTAAACAGGGCTTTAGTGATTGAGTACTGACTGGAGGGAGGCAAAGAAATCCATTAAAGTGATGGAAGTTTGCTGATACAAATTGACATTGTAATAGGTAATAAAGTGATTTACTTGGCTGGTGTAAACATACATTGTCTTAATCTCTATGTTAGGTAGTTCTCATCCTGCTTAGACCTACATTCTTGGGCATCAGCAATTGCATGGGAGAGAAAAACAACTTGTTTTGTTGTAGCAGCACAATGAAGTTTTTTGAGTCTAATTAAACAACTTGCCTTCATAGAGTGCAGTGAGATACAGGTAACCGATACGCAGTGGAACTGTTTTATCTTATTGGAGGCTTGGTCTGTGCAGTGAAAACCGCTGACATGAAGTCCATATTACTCAGATTTAGTTGCCTTCCTTTTATCTCTTACCCTAAGCACCACAGAATAACTGGGGTTGCAAAGGGTGTCTGGAGATTGTCCAGTCCAACACTCCCCCTCCTCAAAGCACGATCAACTAGAGCAGCTTGCTGCTTGGCCACCTAGTTCAAGTGCTTGACCACCCTTACAGTAAAAACGTGCTTTCTTCTGCTCTGGGGATTTAATCTGTTTTAATTTATGCCCATTGACTCTTGCCTTGTTGCTGGGCACCTCTGAGAAATTGTGTACCCCTGCCACCCTAAGATATTTATACATGTTGGTAGGATCTCCCTGAGCCTTCTCTTCTCCAGGCTAGGGTACCCAGCTCTTTCAGTCTCACTGCATATGTCAAATGCTCCAATCCCTTAATCGTCTTTGCAGTCCTTTACTGGACTCATTCTAGGCTGCTTATGTTTTGCTTGTACTGGGGAGCCCACAAGTGGGCACAGCACTCAGATGTGTCTCATCAGTGCTGAATAGAGGGGAAGGATCATCCATCTCCCTTGACTTTCTGGCAGCAATTTTCCTAATGCAGCCCAAGATGCTATTAACCTTCCTTGCTACAAGGGTATGCTGCTGGCTTATGGTCTACTTTGAGCCCACCAGGACCCCCAAGTGCTTTTCTGCAGAGCTGCTTGCAGCTGGTCATACCCCATCCCGTACTGTTGCATGGGGTTATTCTTCCTGAGGTGCAGGGCTTTGTATTTCCTTTGTGAATTTTAAGAGATTCCTGTTGGTTTATTAGTCAGCTTTTCAAGGTCCCCCTGAATGCCAGTGCAACCAGCTAGTGTATCAGCCACTCCTAGTTCCTGTCATCAGCAAGCTTGCTGAGGATGCATGCACTCTGTCCCATCATCCAGGTCATTAATGAAGTGATTAAGCTGTACTGGCCACAGTATTGATCCCTGTGGTACACCAGCAGTCACCTTCCTCCAGATGGACTTCATACTGATCACAGTCTTTTGAGCCCAGCAGTTCAGCCAGATATCAGTTCATCTCAGTATCCATTTATGTAATCTGTACTTCATCAATTTGTCTGTAGGACACACTGTCAAAAGCCTTCTAAAAGTCAAGATAAACAACATCTGCTGCTCTCCTGTTATCCACTGAGGCAGCCAGTAGCTGGTCTGTTCTGCTCCGAGTGTCTCAGTCCCAGCAGGTGCTGCTGGAAGGGTTGCTGTATGAAATCAGTGCTTCCTCGGGTCAAGGTTTGTTTAAAACAGTGTTGTCACTTTTGCTTTGGCTGATTCAAATGTGTTCTCCTAAAATAATGCTTTTTAAAAGTGGTGTATATTTAAAAGAAGAAGAGTAGTCATTTAAACCTTGTCAAGTTAGAAAGTATTCCAAGTGATGTGGTCAGTCACATAGCTATTGTCAACATTGTTTATATAGCAACTGTTTGTGTTCTGACCTCACTGTCTTTACTGATAAGAAGACCTGCTGACATAGGTGAAAAATAATGACAAAAAAGTTTAACACAGTGTCTTATAGCTGTGTGCTGCATAAGATAGACTGAAGAAAGAAAACTTTCAGTTGTCAGGAATCAGAGGAATTATAGTAACAGAAGCACAGTTTTTCCAGTTTACATTATTCCTTGTAAAACTTTTATTGTGAAAAATGTCCTCATTCTGAAAGGATTGGCATATCATCTAGTTTAAACTTAGGAAACCTGATATGAGAAATCAGCTAGAAAAGAGAAGCATATTTCAGTAATGTATAGTTTCTTAACAGCAGCAAAGGGAGGATGAAAATGGTTTCTTATTCAAGAATGTAAATGTGAGTATTTTTAAGTGACAGAAATTGCCTCTAAAAGAGACATTTTTAATGGACTGGAGAATGGATAGCTGTAGAAAGGGAACACAACTAGTTCCTTTTGTGGAAAAGCATGAATGCATTTATGTTAAAAATACCTCCCAAGACTCTTATTTAGTGATAATAAACTGATGTGTTTCATAAATTAATTTGCATCTAAACAGAGTTTTAAAACGGAAGTAGCTGTAACTTGTTTAGGAACCACAGCTACTCCAGCTCTATTAAAGCTTGCCCAAATGTAGTAGATTTTTCTAGGATAATTGTACTGTTCATATAAAACGTTGGGGTTTGCGTAGGTTTTTTCTCACTTTACAGTCTCTGATTTCCTTATATGTAAATTGGTTACATTAAATTGACCTCTAACCCTAACCCAGGTGTTCCTTTTTCTAGTTCTCTTGTGATGTGTTTTTTCACTATCCTAAAAAAGGATGTAAGGAAAACATGTAATCCTTGGGTTTATGTATTTAAGTATTTATATGCACCATCAAAATAGCTTTTCAGTTAGTTATATTTATTTCCAAATGTTTTGACTCATATAACACAATGCATTGTTACATGGTCGCAGAATGGTTGAGGTTGGAAGGGACATCTGGAGATCTGGTCCAACATCCCTGCTTAAGCAGTGGCCCAGGACCATGTCCAGATGGCTTTTGAACATCTCTATGATGGAGACTCCACAGCTTCCCTGATCAACCTGTGCCATTGCTCAGACACCTCACAGTAAAAAAGTGTTCCTGGATGTTCAGAGGGAACCTCTCATGTTTCAGTTTGTTTGTGCCCACGTGGTCTCAGTATGCTCAGATGATCTCAGAGCTTTGCTTTCCAGAGATCCATGGCTGCACTTTTTCTGTCTTTTAAAAATAGCTTGTAGGAGTGGTTGTCATTCAGAAGTTGTTACGTGTACAAACTGGGAAAGAAAACCACGTACCAGATGTTCTTGTTGAATACTTGGGTCAGCTCCAGTAGTAATAAAGCCTTCCTGAGCTTGAAAACACTTCACCACTCAAAACTTATTTGAAACTTGGGAAGTATTCTTTTTCTGGCTCAAGAGTGATTTAAACCATTTTAAACATTGGGTAAGTCAGTTACATACTTTTAAATTGGTGCAATCAAACATTTTTTGTTACGAGTATGTCACTGGATAGAAATAGAACCAAAAGCCAAGAGGAGGCAGTCTCTTCAACACAAATTCTTTTTTTTTTTTTTTTTTTGAGTTGGAAGTTTCCCAGCTGTTGACAATACTGTCTGTAGCTGATCCTG